CAGTTCAATTCCCCTTAAACACTAACATGTCGATGCAGCTATATGATAACACTGTATTTTACTCATTTAAGGTGTATATTTATCATCATTAAGCTTTGCATTTGGTCATAGTATCATATCATTTTGCACCATTTTAGCTTATTTTGCACACTTAGGCATTTAGGATCATCTTACATACACATTGCATATTTTGGAGTGTTTTCAGGTGCAGAAGGAGCTTAAAAGGATTCTACCCGACCTTCTACTCTATCCAACCAGGAGGGAACCAACAGAGCATTCTACTCGACTCATTCACTTGATCCAGGCAGCCAAAGAGGAGGCAGCAATTCACTCGACCCTCTTACTCGATCAAGGCATCCTCAGAAGAAGCAGCAGATTGATCTACTCGCCCCTTCTACTCAATCCTCTACTCGACCCATTTACTCGACCAAGGGTGACCAACTCTACAAGACTTGTTGATCTATCAAAGCGACTTTGGATCCTCCTCATTCCCCACTCAACCAGACATCTGAGCATACAGATAGGAGAGGAAGAAGCATCTACTCGACCAATTGATCACTCGGAGCATACACACAAAGGCGTAGACTTTGCAGCACCCTCCTTACTCGATCCCCAAAATCGAGCACTTGCTCAAACCGCCTCAAGTCTCTTGTCTTCTAGTGAATCTAGGGTTTTCAACATTTCACTATAAATAGATCACTATGGGATTTTTCCAAAGGATTTACCTTTTATCCTTTAGTTTTGTTTATGTTCTTGAATCTTCAAAACTTAATTACTCTTAATCTATTTCGTTTTTGCACTTAGTTCTTTAAGTAAAGTTGTTAAGCTTGTTTAGATCTACATTTTGATATGATTTCAGTAATTTATGGGTTAGTGTTCTTAGTTATGTTGCTTGAGTAGTGATTAGGGTTCTTGAGGATGGATTAGATTAGGGTAATCTCTAGGTTAGTCAGGTGGTTAAGATTAGGTTATATCCCTTCTGGATTTGCTTGGCCCCTATGCGGTTTTCACTGGCTAATGTGGAGATCCGATCATAGATGTCCAGCGTCCAAAAGACGTTCAAATGGATGTCTGATCTACAAATTCTAGAGATTTGTAGACTTGACCAAGACATTGGCTAGTATGCCTATTGGCTTTGGTAGATTGTTGCTTAAACCCTGCTCTACTATGTTTCATCAATGAGAGTTGAGATTAGGAAGTGGTACAGTTGTGGGGGTCTTTGTCACAGCAGTGGATTGACCCAGTTTTTGAATCTATCGTGTAGGGTATCTACCTTTCACCTGTTAGCCACCTGATGAACCCTAGAGATGCCCTTATCAATGAATCCATCCTTAGGAGTTCTATTCTTCTTAGATTTATTTGTATTCACCCCCTGATTGCACTTTTATTTCCCTGTTATTTGTATCCCCTGTTGATTGCATTTTAGTTCTGCCTATTGGTTCTACTCGACCCAATGATCGAGTAGGGCTTTTAAGTTCTTATTTTTGTTGTTTGAATCGTGACCTAGGATTGTTACTAGAAACTAACCATCATTATAATCTAGCTTGACTTAGTTGCTACTGTACACATCTTGATTGCTAGCAATAACATCTTGATTCCTAGCAATAACAGTGGACTGGATTGACACCTCCTATAGCTGCATCGGCATGTTAGTGTTTAAGGGGAATTGAACTGAACCTCACATTCAACACATAAGTAGGCGTAAAAACCTACTTATCAATTTGGCGCCGTTGCCAATTAATTGTTAAATTGTTACATTCAAGATATAAGAAAAAGTTAAGATCAAGTTCTTTTACATTTATCAAGTTATTAACTCATATTTTCGTCTGCTTGTTTTGTGGGATAGGTACAAATATTTGTGCATGCAAACTCGATCCAAAGGCTCTGCACACCTACTACCATTCAAAGACAGAATTGACAGAATAGCTCGTGAGTTACAAGAAACCAAAGCAAAGGCTGCCTGTGATCAGCAAAGACCAGCTGCTATGGATCAACAGAACATACCATTTGATGTTCAAGACCCACCTAATGTTGACCAACCAAGAAACATTGGTGCTGGTGATGCCCCAAGGAATCATCACCAAAGACAAGGGATAGTGCCTCTACCAGTTCAGAAAAACAACTTTGAGATCAAGAGTGGTCTCATCTCAATGATCCAAGGAAACAAGTTTCATGGTTTACCTATGGAAGACCCCCTGGACCATCTTGACAGCTTTGGTAGGCTCTGTGGCCTTACCAAAATCAATGGTGTCACTGAAGATATGTTTAAGCTCAGACTATTTCCCTTCTCTTTGGGAGAAAAGGCACACCACTGGGAGAAGACTCTGCCCCCACATTCCATCACCTCCTGGGATGATTGCAAGAAAGCTTTTCGTGCCAAGTTCTTCTCTAATGTTGGCACAGCTAGATTGAGGAACGAGATCTCGGGCTTCACCCAGAAAAACAATGAAACTTGGGAGAGGTTTAAAAGCTACACCACTCAATGTCCCCATCATGGTTTCAAGAAAGCTTCATTATTGAGCACACTCTACAGAGGAGCTTTACCAAAGATCAGAATGCTACTTGAGACCGCTTCCAATGGAAACTTCCTGAACAAGGATGTAGCAGAAGGATGGGAGTTGGTCAAAAATCGAGCACAATCTGATGGGTGCTACAATGAAGATTATGATCGCTCAGTGAGAGGAATTAGAGGGACTGGGGATAAACAGAGCAAAGATATCAAGGCTCTGAATGAAAAGCTAGACAAGCTGTTGCTGGCTCAACAGAAGAAGATACACTACATCACTGATGAAGAACACTTCCAAATGCAAGAAGGGGGGAATGATCAAAATAAAGAGCTGTGCTACATCTAGAACCAAGGAGGGTTTAACAAGGGCTACAACAACTACAAGCCCAACCCAAACCTCTCCTATAGAAGCACTAATGTACCTAACCCCCAAGATCAAGTGTATCCACCACAACAGAATCAGTCTAAGCCATTTGTTCAATACAACCAAGGTTGTCCCTAAACAACAGTTTAATGGAGGTTACCAACACTAGAATCCACCACCAGGGTTCACTCAACAACCACAACAAGCCCCAGCAACTCAAGATCCTGAAATTAAGCAACTCATTCAACAAATCATTCAAGGATAAGCTATTGGCGCTATGGCTTTTGACAAGAAGATAGCTGAATTACACAACTAGATCGATTGTTCTTACAACGATCTAAATGTCAAGTTCGAAGCTCTGAATTCCAAAATCAAGTATGTGGAGAGTCAATTTGCATCAACCTCTACTCCGAAGCATCCTCAGCAACTTCCATGGAAAGCAGTCCAGAATCCTAAGGACTATGCTACTACTAATGCTATCACCATCCACCAAGAAGATGAGTCTCCACCAAGTAATCAGACTCTCAATACTAAGGACAGTATGATTCAAGAAAGGGGGGATTAAACTCAAATTGATGCACGTGCCACCAAGCAATTCATCCGGACTATAGAGCACACACCTTTGCTGAATACTCACCATTCTGGAAAAAAGTTCAAAATTGAAAAACTCAAGAAGGATCAGAATCAAGAGATGATTAGCAGTGCCTCCACCCAAGAAACATACGAGAAGAAAGTCATCCAAGAAAAGCTTGATGATCCCGGTTCATTCATTCTACCATGCTCTCTAGGACTATTGACATTCAATAGGTGCCTTTGTGATTTGGGAGCATCTGTTAGCCTTAAGCCTCTCTCTACAGCTAAAAGGCTAGGGATCATGGAATACAAGTTCTGAAACTTAGCTTTGCTCTTAGCTGATGGTTCTGTTGCACATCCTCATGGTCTAATAGAAAATCTGCTTGTCAAGATTGGAAATGTTGAGATACCTACATATTTTGTGGTATTGGACGTAGATGAAGAAGGAAAGGATCCCCTGATCCTAGGCAGACCATTCTTAGCTTCAGCTGGAGCAGTCATAGATGTCAGGAATGAAAAAATTAATCTGAACCTTGAAAAAGGCATCAAGATGAAGTTTGACATTAGAATAGCTTCAAGGAAATCAACAACAGGAGGTCAGAGTTTTGGGATTCAGGACATGGATGTTGATGAAGAAACAGAAGCTGGAACCTCACCAAAAGTCAACTATACTTCTCAACTCACCAAGCTTAAGAGAACTTTTGACCACAAGAAGAGAGCAATAGAAGGGTTAGCTCAGACTGACGATCTTACAGAAGATGACTGGTATGAGATGAGAAAAAAATTTAAATGGCAAAGCAGAGTCATATTAAGATTATCTTCAAGGGTGATGAAGCTGAAAGATCAACTATGGATGTTTGAAAAAAGAGTTAATAAGTTTCCAAATGGTATTGAACCAGAGAAGATAGAAACTACACTAGCTATCAAGGAGGACGAAGATTTCACAACAGAATGATTAGCACCAGAAGATCAGAAAGGAGTTCCCTTAGAGGAAAGAAGCCTAGAGAGCAAGTTGTTGAGTGAGGAGGAAATCCCTATTCCGACTTATTCTCCAGGATTGCCTAAACGGCCCACCAACCCCTCTGTTGAAGAAGAACACTTGATTCATGATTCTGTTGCTGAAGAACTCCTGGAGCTCTGGATTTGATATAAAGCTCAGGAGGATACAATTGGAAAGTTAACTCACAAGATGGAAGAGTTAAACAGCTTCATTCTGGAACTTCAAGAAATGGTCAAGGACTACCCCAACTTTGAAATTGAGGATTGGTCATAGGAGCCTGAAGAAGACTACTCTGCTGATCAGAAAGACGCTTATTTTGAAGAAAAATCAAATGAATATTCATCATACCATATGTCAAGAGAGGATGCAATATATGATTCAGAAACTGAAAATTCGACCACTGAAGATGAGGACTTCTCTATTCCTCTCTTCAACCATTTTTCTGACTAAGCTCTGTAAGATTCAAGCGTGACTTAAAACAAGCTCACTTGGTAGGAAGCCCCATGTCTATCCATGTATATAACTTTCTATTTTCCTTGTTATTTTTGACGTTTTTGTTTAAGTGTTTCAAGTTTATTTCATTGACCATGATGAAGTCAATGGTCGAGGAAATTCAAACCAAGTCAAGAAAGATCTCTACCGTTGATCGAGTAGAATGAGAAGGAGTGTTTTGAACCGTTGATTTGAATGACCAAATGAGATAAGCATCACCACCGTTTGATTGAGTGACTTCTTGAAGTTTATTTTGGTCTGTTTGATCGAGTAAACAAGAACGAGGAGCTCTCCACCGTTGGATCAAATTTTGTGCAACTCAAGAAGATGCTCGATCCTTTACTCGAGCTCGAATTATTTGGAGACCAAGAAGTGATGTCGACTGTCCCACTTGTTCCCCTTCACTTCATTATTCAACGGACAAACCATTTACCCATGCCCCTCACCAATTCAAACTCGCTTTTGCAATCCCTCCAAAGAGAATCCCAAGGCCATCCTCCTCCACCCATTGAAATCTCCAAACCACTTTTGAAACTCTCTCTTTCATCATATCATTTTTGCAAACTCTCTCACAAAGCTCCAAAAGTTTCATTCCAAACTCTCCCTATCACTCTTCACGCATTCTCACTTCATCATACTTCACCAAAGTTACTCGATCAATTCCAAGTTCATCCTCAAATTTTCAATCGGTTTTCAAGCTCAATCTCCATCACCAAAAACCGAATCCTTTTTACTTTGATACCTCTTGGAAAGTTGTTCTTGTTTGCCTTGTTGAAGCTCACCACCAATCTCCATGGATTCAAGAAGGAAGAGTTCATCTCGGGCAAAAAGATCCTCTATTGATAATGAGGAAGTCGAGGCCTTTGACATGAGTGGCATGACTGAACACCTAATTCGCCAAGCTCACAGTGCCCAAAGATCAAGCTTGATTCAAGGTGGAAGTTCAAGCCGCTAAGCCATGCAAAGAGAAGAAGTAGCTCGGGGGAAGAGGGTCGTTGAGGCTGAAGAAGAACACCATGAAGAGGCACCCTTTGAAGAAGCGGTTTCCGAGGAAGAGGTTGAGATCATCAGGGATGATACACCAGCACCTGTTGAGAGAAGAAACCGAGCAAGGGGGAAGAGAGAGCCAACCCCGAGCGAGTACTATCAATACTTGAAGGAGTTGAAGTTTGAGGGAACTAGATACCCTCATAAGGAAACGATGCAAGAGCTTGGTATTTGTGGTGATGTGGAATACTTGATGGAATTGGCCAATCTTGCAACATTCATAAGCTGCCAATGTGGGGGATATAAAGAGGAGAGCTGCCAACTCCTTGCAACCCTCAAGGTTCATTTCTGTGTTGACGATTCAGAGAAAGAAGAGAGAGGAGGTCTTGGTTACGTAACTTTCAAGGTTAGGGATGTTGAGTGTACTCTTGATATTCGCCATCTTGATACCATTTTCGGGTTTCCAAGTGGAGAAGAAATTCGCCAAGACTATGATCAAGAAGAGCTAAATCTCTTTGGAAAACAATCGCCGGTCCGAAGCCCTTCTCCCAACCAAGAACAAGAGTTCTTCAATCCGAAATCCCGTGATTAGATACCTCCACTAATGCATCGCCAACACCCTCTTTCCAAAGAAGGCCACCGGATTTGTTGGTGAAGAGGAGCTATGCATGATAGACCAATCTTTGGTCTTCATTTTGAAAGAGACAAAAGATAGGAGGAAGATGGCGGGTGATAGAGCAGACACTTCGCTGATTGTTGTTCTCTTCGATCACCTATTGAGCTACAAAGAGTATGCTGCAACCATCCATCGCTCGGGAATTCGCGGAAGTCTTGTGTTGGTGGTCTCTTAACGCCAATACTAGGAGTTGTGGGTATGGAATTCGGAACCCTGACGTGTTGCCCAAGTTTATTGACCTCGACTATCTCATGGGGAAGGATTTTCTTGAGAAAACAATTCCAGCGGATCGCTATCTCTTCAAGTTCAACCATCTGGAGCTTGGACCTTCTCTGTTACCCCTACCATGCGAGAACCGGACTTCGGTGAAGACAAGGCGCAACATAAATTTCATGCCATCTGCCTCTGCCTTGAACATCGACATTGGAGGAGCTCGAGAAGATGAACAAGAATATAGTCAAGCTGACTATGTGCGACAGGAGTATTTTACTCAAGCTGACTATGAGCAGCAAATCGAGTTTGAGCAGCATATTGATCAACCGAAGCAAGGGACCAGCGAACAAGAGCAAGCTCATTATGAAGAAGGTGCTGACTAAGGAGGAGATGAGATAGCTGAAGTTCACAAGAAGCTCGGTGTGCTTGAAGAGCTTGGGAACCTTCATAGCAAAACAATGAAGGGTTTCAAGAAAAAGATGAGAACAATGAAGAAGTCACTCAAGAGTATGGCTGCTTTACTCAAGGACTTCCAGAGCAAGCCAAGGCCACCGTCTCCCACCCCCAAAGTAAGAAGAAGTGGTTCAACGAGCTCAGCTGCAAGGAGACCTGAAAGGATCGATCAACCCTGAGCTTCATCTTTTGAGCCTCGGGAAATGATCTTCGAGTTGAGAGAGCCAAGGAGTAGG